ATAATGGTCACAAGCTGGCAGAGGTCAGATTCAGGCTAGACATCAGGAGGCGCTACTCCACTGTCAGGGCAGCTAGGATCTGGAAACAACTTCCAAGAAAAGTGGTGCTGGCTCTGACCCTGGGGGTCTTTAAAAGGAGGCTGGATGAACACCTGGCAAGGGGACCCCAGTAATCTTTCTTGTCATGGCAGGGGGGGGGGCTTGATGATCTGCTCAGGTCCCTTCCGACCCTACCAACTATGAAACTATGAAACTATGGTTCCACTCAGGACGTACATTGAGACAATGCCAGCAGTATGATGTATGGTAAACCTGATGGCCACCCACACCAGATTCTGCTCTTTGAATGTATGTCAGGTTTCAGTTGACAAATTTACTGAGCTTTCATTTCTAAGAGCACACAGAAATATACTGAAAAATCCCCACTTGGATGCTACCAGTCTCAATAGCATTAGCACAAAAATATAGCCGTGGGTTTTAGAAAAGACAGACTCATATAAGGCATTACATGCTGAATTTCAGATGAGAAAATGATTTCACTGAAAAGCCTCAACATTACTTATTCCCAGAATTCAGTCTTATATTTCCAGTGGTTAGGAAATTACATGTAGCTTCTAGTCATGACTAAAAACAGGAAAAAACAAGAAAAGAATATTAACATGTAATCATAACTAAAAGACCAGATATCACTTTCTCATTGACAGCTCAAAGACCAAGTAAGGCTTTCTGAAAGGGATCTTCCTATACAATCTGGCTCTCCAATGCAGAATCTTATTTCACTTCTGAACTCTTAAAAACCCGCTGGCAGGGCAATGCCATGAAAACTTCTGAGGGTAAAAATCCCGCAGCTAAGTCAATGGCTCTGAAGTTCATGAAATTAATTTAGTGCTACTTCATGGGTGGCTTTAATTACAGCAGCAGACATATTTGATCAACGCAAACAACTGAGCCTGGAAATCAGCAGCTCTTTTATCAGAAAAATGTAAGATAATCTCTGGGTGACACATTCCCATCAAACTATTTGCTCTCTGCTTATATAGTTTTATTTGAATCATTTCTGTGCTGGCCCTTTATGCCAGCTGGGAGAATCTGGTAATTTTTGGAAAGTTTTCTTTGTTCAAGGTCAACTCAGCTGTATACTCTGTCCTGAATCATCATGGTGCTCACACATTTTTTATTTAATAAGTTTATTTTGTAATTGCAATTAAAAATACTCTGGATGGTAAGTTATACACCATTTGTGGTAGAGGGATGGATTTTTCCCTACATCACACAAAGAAAGCTCCCACTACAGTGGACAAACTATCTCCTATAGATTACACAAGTTGGATTATGACCCTGTAAAATAGATCTTTGTGCTGATGCTAAGTCTCATTGAAGTCAGTGAACCTTCAAGTCAGTTCAGGAGTCCATCTATGTGGACTCATTTAGAAGACTGAGCCTTAAATCATAGAAGATTCACGGAAAGAAAGCAACTAGGTGATGCTGTCCATCAACCAGTGTAAACTAGGAATTAGGTCTCCAATACTCTATAGCTGCGGTGCCCAACCTTTTTGCCCACAGGTCAGAGGGGCGGTGCCAGGTCCCTTCCAGGACTGCATCTGGCCGGTTGGCCTGATCCAGCCCAGAGGGTGGGTACACTTGGGGGCAAATCTGGTGCATGGGGTGGGCCCAGAGGGGAGCCAGTCTGGTGTGGGGGACAGGTGCAGCCACAGCCAGATTCAGTGAGGTGGCAATGGCCTAGGCCTGGGCTGGGCTGATATGGCCATGCAGCAATGGCCCAGCCCCAATCCAAGGGCTTAGAAATTTGGCAGCGGGAGAACAGTGTCAGTGTTAATTGCCTAACTGCCACTGCTCTCCTGCTGCCAAATTTCTTTACCTTAGGGGAGCCCTGTAGGCAGTTTGGCCTGTTGGCTTGGGGTTGAGCACCCTGGCTCTACAGTCTTCAGAAAAGACACAATCTAGTTTTAAGTGTATTCCGCATCTAACTGAGAATTCCACTGAGCAATATTTCCTGTATTTCGACTCAGTTTTCCTACACTCAATTTTAGCTCATTCATCTCAGAAATAACCACTTGAATACCCCTAAATCATTTTTCAGTTTCCTTGGTAGTTATTTACATATGGGCTGCAGAAAACCTGCAAGATTTGTTTCACATGGGTTATGTGAACTGGACCCAGCAGGATTTAGTCTGGAAGCAATGACAAGGGACCACAGCTTGCTAATTTACCTGAAATTTGGAGTTCATGTAGTGGGAGAAATCACTGAGAGCTATGTGGGGAAAAACTATCTAAGCAGAGACATCTTGATGTAAGGGTGGTCAAGCCTTGCCACTCAGGAAATAAGCCCCACCTAACTGCCTCTTTTGTGTGTGTGACAATCACCTGAGCAACTACATTTCTGCTGCTGGGTCTGCAGATAACTGCTTAATGGCATCTGACACTCACATGCAGGTCTAAGTGAATTTGTCTTCTGCCTGACTTCAGACTAACAAGGCTACCTCTCTCTCCTGAAGGCATGAGTCTCATCCTATACACAAGTCCCTTTGATTCATTAGCCATCTGGTGTCCTGCACACACATGATATGAGTCTTATTACATAGAGGAAGAGTAAACACAAATTTAAAAATATTAAATATCAGAACTCAGACTTACCTGTTTCTCCAATGTGGCCCTTTTCAACCTGCCATGTTTGTAGAGGTTAGAGAATATATGGGAGATATAGCACAAAGAAATTACCTGATGGAGAACTAGGCAGGGAAGGTAAGTGAGGAGGACACAAAAGCATATGGTTGGATCTTTCAGAGTTCAAAGCATTTATCATCTTATCTGAAGGAGTTGTAGTACAGACTTTATATGAGAGTATTTGGTTAGAATCTGTGCTCCAGGGGTTGTCTAATAGAGTCTGGCAGCCAGTTCTGTGATCTAACAGGTCATGTTCACTTCTACTTTTCTGAGACCTATGTGAAAAATGGTAGGTGTTAGTGCTCAAGGAGACACTTGAAGTTGCACTCTGAGAAGTTGTTAAAAAAGAGCTGCCGGTTGTAATGGGGGGGAGACTTTGTGTTCTGATTGGTGGAAGTGCACTACACTCCAGCTGCTGCTTCTCTGACATGAGGTACTTTTGGGTGTCTGTGCTTCTCCTTTTGAAGTCAGCAGTGGCCACACATTCCCCAGAGAAATCTTTGCAGTTTGTTTCCATAATGCAGTCAAATGTGGTGATGATATCATCAACTTCTGATGTCTCTTCTCTTTGATATCGGTCTCTATTTCTGTCTTTCTGGTTTGTTCTCTGATCATCTTTCTTTTTTTTGCACGAGAAAATTTGGTTAAACATACTAAATTTTCCTTCCTTCTTCAGGTTTTTATTCTTCTGTGAGGGAATTTGATGAATTGTTTCAAACCTATTAGGAATTATACAAACAAACAAACAAACAAACAAACAGCCAAGTAAAAAATGAGGAGAGCAGAAAGTAGAAAGCCTTTAGCATTGTTATTTAAACATAAGATTTTAAAGAAAATCTATTCTGTTTTAACACACAAAATGAAAAAGAATAATATTCAGATGAAAGTGCAGGTGTAAATTATATAGGCTGAATATAATTGTCCACATTTTATGAACAAAAATAAGTTGTATAAGTAGTCTCTTCTCCTACCGCTGTGCTTTTTATTTGTATTAGGATAAACATCTGCATTTGTTATTACTGGTTTAATTTCTGGTACCAGTCTATAGTCAATCTGCTATCAGAAATCTGTTTGATCTGTTCTGGTTTATGCATCTACAGAACAGCTAGCAGTATATTCCAGCTGCAGAATCATTAGTAGTGATGACAATACATGAACCATGAATAATATGAAAAGCATTCAGGGATTTTTAAAGACTAAGGGGCCTTGGTTCAATGCCACATTTGGCAAGTGTTATTTTCCAACAGAATAGTGATTACTAACTCCAGGTCAGGGACACTGATTCAGTATAGCAAAGGGGGGAAATCACTTAATTCCATTTTTCACAATATCCTTCCCTTAGACATTGCAAATCCAGTGTCTGTGAGGCCTTGAACAGTTTTCAGGAGACCTATCACAATCACAGCCAGCTCATAGACTGTGGCAGATTTAAAGGAGGCTGTTGAATAACTATAATTGAATAACTGTATAAGGAAGGAAGCTATTGCTTGGCTTTGTGGATTTGCATTCATGAAATAAATAAATAAATAACTATTCAACATCTATGAGCAAGCCAGGATGTGGAGGTTTCAACAGCAGCAAACATAGCTTTAAGTATGTTTTGCCTTTTGTAACAGGAAATAATACTATTAACTGGAAAGAATGGGGAAAAACAAAGGAATCTGACAATTCATATGTGCCTAATACTGATGTGGTAAAACTTAGATAAATTAAGTTGGAGAAACTGAAAATTTTTACAAAGATAAATAATGGATGGTGAGCAAAGAATATAACAGAGGAGCTTTAAAAAAGAGAAAGCATGTATACAGCAAGGCCTGGAATTTTAAGAATGAAAATATCTTTTAAGCTATGAGTATGATAGCTTATTTTATCAGATGTTAAGTGACTTTAATAGAAATACAAGGCATATATTTGAGGGGAAAATTTCCCCTGAAAGTAAATTTTGTCCATAAATATGACAGTGCTCATTTGTTTTACAACTATGTGTTATTTGTTAGAAAGTCTGATTGGACAGATGCTATCTGTAGCAATGAACCATTCGATAGATGGATACTTTTGGCACTGGTGTTTTAGAGAAGAATTTGAACCAAGCATTGTATAGGAACTGCAGATTAATTCCTGCAGTCAGGAAGATTTTGTACCCTCCAGAGAATGCAGAGAGTAAGAAATGTCATTATGTCTTTCCAGTGAAGTTCAGTACTAGCATGTGACCTGTAGGCAAAAGCAAGAGGTGCATTATGATTGTTCCTTTACCTGTGCTCCTGAGAGAGCAGCTTGATGCACGATGTGTGCCCGCAGTACACTGCATATGTCAGAGGAGTGTTTTCATTGATGTCCCGGGGGTTGCTATCTATCCCCAACTGTAGCAGTGTCTTTACGCAGTCTGCTTTCCCTGCTGCTGCAGCCCAATGCAAAGGTGTCCTAAGGAAGAGAAAGTGGAATACATTAATGATCACCTGAGGTGTGCTCCAGCATCGCTTAGTCAACATCTGCACTGGCCATCTTAATCAGTTCTCAAACCATTGGTCTAGCTCAAATATATGTTCATCAGTTACAGTCATGGCAGGAGCAATAGTATAGATCTAGCTCTACTAAGCGTTAATGGTTAAAATGTTTGTAGTTGTCTTACACCACCACTTCCACCATTGCTAACACTGGTGGAAGAAGTGCCTAAAATTTCCAGTGAGGAATTTGAAAAAAATCTTTTTAGTTTCCCCCCAGGCTAGGGCAGTAGTTTGCAACCTACTTGCTATAGTGGGCCACACTTGCAGCTCTCAATGCATTATGTGGGCTGCACCCACACAACTTACTTCCTGTGTATCCATTTAAAAAATGTTTTAACAGGATGTCACATGGGCCGCAGCAGTGTGCTGACTGGGCCAAATGCAGACCCATGGGCTGAGAACCACTGGTCTGGGGGCAAGGGGCAATGCTTTTCATCCTGATACCACGTCCTGATAGCCAGGATCAGTTCAGGTTTTTCCATCAATATGAGGGGGAAAGAATCCTCCCTTAGGCCACAGAGCAGTTAGTGTTGTTGCTTGGCACTTACTATTTCATTCATTAGGCTGCTTTAGACCCTGATACTACTGTGTCTCTACTCTATAGTAAAAAATGACCAACAGGTACATATAAGGTGATTCTACTTCTCAAATCCAGTTGTCCTGGACTTTTCCCATGATCCTCTACAGCCAAGAACCTTTGTAGCCACAGTAAAAGGGGAAGGATTTCTGTTTAGTGACTAGAAACTAATATTTGGCCTCACAAGTGTAACATTCCCTGCAAAAAAATATAAATTTACTTTTAATTAAAGCAACCTGCAAAACACAAAACAAGCTGAATAGGAAGGACTGCATAGGAGGACAGCTGAAAAATATCAATTCATGTAATACTCCCCACCAGACAGTAAGTGAATACAGTGTAACTTTCAGATAGCTGCAAAAGAGAATGGAATTAAATGGAAACCTATTGTGGTTTTGTGAGCTATCTCCATCTCCAAAATAGCATCCCTTTTACAGAAAGCCAAGAAAATTTAATAGAAAATCATCTCTCTGATAGAATTATTTTGGATGATTAAAAAACCCTATGGACATGTATCCTTTCTTCTATTACATTTGAAAGATCTTTGGGAATACATTTTATAGAAACCCATTGATTTAAAGTTCTGTGAGAGTTTTTCCATAAGGGATGTTTTAATTATTATTATCTAAAGGCCCAAGCCTTTCGACTGAAGGCAATGAGACTTCCAGGGGAGTAGGAAAAATCAGTCCATAATCAGACTGGCAGTCCTTTGATTCTGGACTCATCAATGGCAAAATGTCTATTGACTTCAATGGAAGCAGGACTGGGATGCTGAACAAGAAAAAGGAAGAACTTCTAACATGTACAGTATAAAGTCGGGAGGTTCTTGGAAAAATGGAACTTGGGGATCCTCAGCACTTTGGAAGATCAGGCTCTAACATCTTAACATTACTGAAGTTGACAGGCTGGGTCCATGGAAGTTGGGCAGAGTTTTGATTTCAACGAGGGTAAGATTTCATTCCAGTTGTGAACTCATGCTGTGCTGTTTAGGAAGGACAAATCCATTTTAATGAATCAAATGATGATAGACCTCTGTCTTGTATAACCCTATCATACCCTATCATAAATATAAGGTTAAAATACCTTTATATTAGAGAACTAGGTAGTTAGCTGTGTTAGCCTGAAGTCAGACAGAAGGCAGGATAGAATTGCACCTCACAGACTAACTGAATAAGAGATACATACGCTTCCAGAAGCAGTAGCTTACTTCATCAAAAGATAGGCATGCTCTGCATGTCCCTTCCTAGCATCTGATGAAGTGAGCTGTTCCTCACAAAAGATCATGCAACTTTGATTCCATTATTCTATATGGTGCAACTCTTCCCCGTCTTCTGCCTGCTTTTATACTAGTTACCTAGTAGTCATTTATATTAGTTATTGTAAGGTAAGCACAAAAGGCCTCATTTGCAGAGTTGCTGAGTATATATACTTCTCAGCAATCCACTTTCATGAAATAGGTTGTGGCCTCTGTAACAGGAAACGTGACTGTTAAACAGTTTTAGCTTCAGGTTAAGACAATGGGAACAGGGGCTTTCCAGCACTTTCAGTACGTTTCCATGGTTACCTGTCATCCACATCAAGGGCCTGCAGGTTGCACTCTGAGATTTTAGCCAGCTCGCTGATAATATCACTATAACCTGCTGCAGCAGCGATGTGCATACAAGTCTTGCCATTTTCATCATCATAGTTTATTATTGATGGACCCTGGTGATGGTCCAGGATGATGGAACACAGAACCTTGTTTCCACTCTGGAAAGCAAGTAAAGGGAAAATAAGTATTTAATAATGAAGCATACTTCATACTGAACTCTCTATGCCACAAAAGGAAAAAATACAATAATGGCATTTCTTGTTTAGTTCAGATTCCAGTGGCATGGCCACTGCCAGACGGTTCCTGCCTCCTGCCAGAAGCTGGGTCTGCCCTGTGAGTTTCCTAGAACATTTCTGGGCACTGGAGAAATAATAAATAATGTAACAAAAGCTGAAAAAGGGCAAGGAAGTGACAGACTCTCACTGACTTTTAATTACATATTTTAATTACAGTATTTACATATGGAGTTAATTATATTTTAAAATCTAAATTACTTTAATATTGTCTAAAATGGCTTGGATGTTATAGGAGACACACAATCTAGAGCATGATGAACTGTATTTAATATATAATCTAAAAAGCATGGAAACATAGTGATGGAAGGGACCTCAGGGGGGTCATCTAATGCATCTAGCCACCTCCTCTCCTTTAAGTATTCCTAGACCATCAATAGTATGTTTAAGCTCTCCAAAGAAGAGGGTGCCACAGCTTTCCAAGGTAGCCTATTATGGTGCTTAATTATATTTATGGAGTTAGAAAGCTTTTTAAAAAAATAACCTAATGTCTCCCTTCCTGGAAAACAAAATGATTATTTCTTGCCCTGTTTTTGGTAGAGAACAATTGATTACTAACCTCTTTTTAACCTTTTTACATATTTGTAGGCTGTTCCCATGCCTATCCTCAGCCTTCTCTTTTCTAGTCTAAATGAACCCAATTGTTTCAAGCTCTCTGAAAGTTTCTGAAATGCTGATCATTCTTGTTTTTCTCCTTCGGATTCTCTCCAATTTCTTAAAGGATGGTGCCAAAAACTGGATACTATAATCAAGCTGAGTAGGAGAGATTAGTTATTAACTCTTGCTTCTTACCTAACATTTCTGTGAATACACCCGGAATGAAATATGCTGCCATTGTAACAGCATTAAACCCACTTTTTTTCTCAAACACTGTTATCTAATGAATTACTTCCCCTTTGTATTTGTGCCTTTGATGTTTTCTTCCTAAGTGTAGTTCTTTGTACTTGTCTCCACTGAATTTTATTTTATTGATTTCAGATAATTTTTAAACTAATCCAGATAGTTTTGAAATCTACTCATCCTCCAGAGTGCTTGCCACCTTGTCTCAGCGTGGTGTTATCAGCAAAGTTTATAAGTATGCTCTGTATTCCAGCATCTAAACCATTAAGGAAAATACAGACTAGAACCAGGTCTGGGACAAATCCTGTTGGGACCTGACCAGATGTCTCCCTTTGAAGATGTTTTCTTCTTGTTGTTAATCATAAATACATAAACTAGTAAGACCTTTCAGAATGACTTTGGATGTAGCATCCCTTTTTTTAACTCTGCCCCATAAGGATGTCTTTTTGGATTGAATTCGGAATCTTTTATTCATGTTGAATTACACTTATGCAAATAGTGCTATTGACTTTAATGGACTATAGTTATAAGTACTGCTCACCTGGAGAATGGAACAAAGACTTAAAGCTTTTATGATTGCTCTTTTTTACCAGGTTGATTAACAACCCTTCTGTCTCATGCTATGGTATTTTAGCTAGTTGGCTTATTTCCAGTTTATTTATAATTTTATGTGGCACAAAATTGATTGCCTCATTGCAATTAAAATATTCTTATCCAGAAGCTTCCTCTTCATCTGCAAGACCAGCAGCTGCATCAAATATGGCTCTTGAATGTGCCTGTCTGGACTTACTTTTAACAAATGCAAGAGGGTTGTTGGTTAGATTTTTCCCTCAAATCATTAGTAAGTCCCTTCATATGGTTGAATGTTTGAAAACTACTGGCCAGTAGTTTTCAAATCCTTTCTTCTGAAAGTTACAGAGTAGTTTATTCATCATTTTAAAGGTTATATTAGTTTTGTCCTTCTAATACTTCTGAGGTTTGAGAGAGTTCCTATTCCAGTTCTTTTAAAACACTCACTTTAACCTCTGTACAACTGGCAATTCTTGTAGATTTATTTTAACTTACATCATTGTATCATTGCCTTAATTATATATGGCTCATAAGAACAAAGGCCAAGAAAAAGCTGCTTTGGCCATTGTGGCCATTGAGTCCATTCCCTTGTGTTCATAGATGGTGATTTATCCAATGGGTCTCAATATTGTCTGCTCCTACCCCTCTTACACAAAACAGCTGCAAAGCATCCTATGAAAACAAAACTGAAACACCCTATGACATACCAAAGGTAAAAAGCAGGGGAAAACCTACCTACCATATTTTTATTGCAAGGAATTTGCCTGCTTGCCTCTGATGTGTTCATTACTTAGATCCTTCCTGTTAAAACCTGCGCAAAACTAACTATTTCAGATTTCAGCTACCTCAGAGCTCTCCCTAACTTGCTCACATACCCTGATTTTGGAGTAACCCTGTTCACACTGCTAGTAAATGTCTCTGTTTCTGAATGCACTGGTAGAACTATATTTCTTTATATCCTTGTACTAATTCTCAGAATTGCTGAGTGTCACCCCTATTTTACAACACGGTTGCATTCTTTGAACATTAGCTTAAAGTGGTGGTCACCAAAAAAATGTAGCTTTCCTGTAGTAAATTGATTATGAACCCACAGTACTGTTCTTAGACCAGCATATAAGGCCTGTGCTAGTCGGCAGTGATCCAGCTTCGGCTCTGGCCGCTTCAGATGGCTGCAATCTGATCCAGAGCTCTGGACTGGGTTTCCGCCTCGATCCGGCCGAAGTGGCTCTGAAGCTTCGGCGCCACCTTGGAGATCTGGCCATAGGGTACAATGGGGAATCAATGAAATATCTATAACTTTGTTGTTTTTGGTCTGATTTGGATGAAACTTGCGGGGATGGTAGCCTCTGCTGAGAGCATGAAACCTGCCAGGCTTCAAGAAGTTCAGTACAGGGGTTTGGGGGGAACTGCACCCCAAATTCTTGAAAGCCAAACTCATGTCACGACTGTGTGTTACACCACAGGGGGGTCAAAACTGCAGGGGTGGTAGCTTTTACTGAGGCCATAAAGCCTGCCAAGTTTCAAGGATATAGGTGCAGGGGTTTGGGGGGAACTGCACCTCAAGCTGCAGACAAGCAAAACTCATGACATAGGTGACACTGTGTGTGCTAAGGCGCAGCAGGGTGACAGCTGCAGCAATGGTGGCCACTGCTGTGACACCTGCCAGCTGCCGAGGAGATTGGGGCAGGGGGGGTCTGGGGCCCTGCACCCCTAGCTGCTGACGGGCAAAACGCGTGCCAAGACTGTCTGTGTCCTGGGGCAGTCGATTGCCTGTATTGATTCTTTCCTCTCCTTAGCCTGGTTTCGTAGGTGCTAATTGATGCTCATTAAGTTGTTATGTAGTAGCTAGGTCCTGTGTATTGAGCTGGTCCCTGAGTCCCTGGTCCCCGAGTGAATCATGATTGATTGGTAACTGGTAACACAGTAGTTTAGCAGCCAGGTCTGCAGTTGTGTCTCCCCTCCCCGCCCCAAGACAGACACAGTCAGTCCCACAGCACCCAAGGTACCATTTTTGTCTGTCAGCAGCTTGAGGTGCAGTTCCCTCCAAACCCCTGCACCGATTTCTTGAAACTTGGTAGGCTTTGTGGGCTCAGTAAGAGCTACCAGCCCTGCAGTTTTCATCCTGCTATGTTGTAATGCCTAGACATGACATGAGTTTTGCTTTCAGGAGTTTGGGGTACTGTTCCCCCCAACTCCCTACACCAATCTTCCTGAAACTTGGCAGGCTTCATCCTCTTTGCAGAGTCTACCATTCCTGAAAATTTCATCCAAATCGGACAAAAAAAACCCAAACCCAAAGGTATAGATATTTTATTGTTCATTAAGGTTTCTATACTAAGCAGGCACAATTTATTGACTACTGCACCTCTAAGATCAGCTGGACACTTTCCCCCTTCTGGCATGCTATTCTGAAAACTGATTTCTGTGGACAAGCTGCTGATGTGGTTTTAACAAGAGGGTATTCATTATTCCACACTAGAAGGAGAATTTGTTCCATGGCACTATTGGAGAAGAAGAATCATGCATCCCATCCTCATTTTGATAAGATTCGGGAAATTAGTACACACATGGACAAGTGGAAGGTGTGGCACATGCCAGTTACTCATGTTCTGGCTTCCCTCCACAGGCTTACACGCCAATTGTGTGCTAGAAAGATGCCCGTCGGTCATTTTTTTTCACCTGTGGTTTCAGCCCTATAGAACACAATCACATCTGTACTGAACTCAGCAGGAGTTTTGCAACTGGCTTCAGTATCAGCAGGACTAGGTCCCAGATGGCTGACACCAGGCATACTTATAGTCAATGGCATATCAGTGGGTTAGACCATGGCTGCTCCTATGTGGATACACTCAGGGAACTGTTGCCATCTGTGGTGCTAAGGACTAGCATAGATGGGTCATGCCCTACTCCTCTTCTTTGCCATCTGGGAAAAGCACATGCTGCACACTGTAATTGAGTAGAGTGTAGCCAGTCAAGGTAAGTCACCTGTGTTGAAGGGCACAAGCCAGGAACCCAAGAGCCAGACATTCAGACTCTAGGGACTTAGGCAGGGATGCAAGCAGGAAAGCAGGCAGTAGGAACTAGGCTAGGGGTACCAAGGCACAGCAAGGCAGGGGCCCAAGCATGTGGGCCTTTCTTTCTCTAGCCCATTGGGGAAGACTCAGCCTAGTCTCTGACCACTTCCAGCTGGGCTTAGACTTATTAATACATATCCTTGGTTGAAGAGCTTATGGTTATCATCTGGATGGCAATTTTTTCAGTTAAAGGCCGGATTTTATAATCTGGTTGTACCAATGAGTTAATATTGGAATATTGTATATTAATGTGATGTAATGTATATAGGGCAAGGAAACTAAAGCATTTTCTCCACGTTCTCTCATCACAAGGAGAGGTAGCCAGTGGAAGAAACTGGAGTGCCTGAGATGCACATAAATCAAGGCATTTCAGGAGGGAATCAGAACCATCCATGTGGAAACCCTCTAACTCTGAACTGATCCTGAGTTCCTTGGTCTGCTTTCTCAGGACCATTGTGTTGCCAGCTATTTTCCTTGAAGAAGCTCTGAAGTACATAGGGACCCTTCAAAATATACTAATTTTCCTCAAAATTATTTGCTGGGCATGAGGGGACAAGGAAAATGGTGTTTTCTTCTCTTAATGTCCCCATTTCCTAAGGTTGCCCACTCTCTGCCACTGCCCCTGTCCCAGATCTCCTATGGAGCCTAGAGATAGAGAAAGGACCTTTCCCCCAGCTCCAAAGAACACTGTCTGACTTGCAACGATTTGTTCTTAGAGAGCCTGAATTCCAGATAAAATCTTACCATCCAAGTAGTTACAAAAAGGTTGTCAAGTCTTCTAATATTAATTAAACAAACACACTCCTACTGTTTCTTCATACCGTGTGTTTTAAAAATATGTAGATGTCTTACCCTACTACCAAGGCATGTGGGCAATGAATTAGTTCAAATGTTGTCACAGATCAAATATTTCAGGGTTATGAGTGCAATAAACTTGGTGTTGTAAACGCAATCCTTCAAAAATCATGAGTCAGGCTCCAAAAGTCCTGAGCTTATTTAAAAATAAAAAGGGAACTGTTTAGCTGCCTCTGGGTTTTGAGCCTTCATGGTTCACATTTTCCAACTTTTCTCTACAGCCATGAAGGCTAGAAATGATTTTTTACATGAAAGCTCAGAATTGTACATAGTCACATGACTCTGGAAGCTGGAGCCATAAGAAAAAGATCAAATATTGTGAAATTTATGATAAAAATCATCATGAAGTGATGATTTCAAATCTTTCTAAAGCAGAGGTGCTCAGCCTCTGGCTTGCAGGACAAATGTAGCCCATGGAGCCATAGGTATCCACCCCATGGAGCTCACCACAGATCGGGAAATTTGGCAGCAGGGGAATGGTGGCAATGAATATGGTCACCCACTCCCATGCCAAATTCCCAAACCCCAAACCCCATGCAGCAGGGTCCCGCACCCCCTTGGCTGGATGAGGCCAGGCCATGCCCTCTCCCCAGCCTGGATGGGGCTGAACTATGCCCCTTTTCTCCCCCGGGGCCAGGTTGGGGTAAGCTCAAGCCTACTTCCCCCTGTGGGGCTAGGTCAAACCCTCTTCCATTGTGGGCTGGGTTGGAGCTGGGCCATGCCTCTTTCCCCTTCAGGCTGGTCCATGCCCCATCCCCCCTGGGGCCAGGCTGGGGCTGCGCCACTCTCCTTTTCCCTGTGGTGCTGAGCCATGCCCTCTCCCTCCCCTGCACAGAGACAGGTTGGAGCCAGGATACCTCTGGAGCCAGGGCAGCCTGGGCACTGCCCAGATGGCCTACTGGCCAAAAAGCTTGAGCACCACTGTTCTAAGGTATTTCTAGGCCATCCAATTCTGTAATAGCTAAGAAGCATCAGTATTCAAGACAGAGAAAGCTTTTAAATAAATTACTTTTGGTTTTAGTATCAGTAAATAGGCTTTCACAGTGCAACTAAGCTTTTTTCTGGTTACAAAGATCACTGCTTGTTTGAATGAAAGAGGGAAAGACAGTGACTGTTTAAAGAGTCCAAGTAAAACCACAAATATGAAGGGACTGCGTGTTCACATTCCCCTGCATTTGCTCTGAAATTGTGTAAAATCCCTAGTTAAGTCAAAGGGAGTTCTTTGTACACACTCCGGGAAGTATGTGGCTCTAAAGGAAGCCCAATTTAGCAATAAATTGTTCTGTCCCACCAAGTGGAAGTACCTATGATAACATGTAGGAGTTGTCAGCCAAATTCCACAGGACTTCTTTTCAGTGTTATGAACCAAACCCAGGTTATTTTCATAATGAAACCTGAAGCTGTGTGTGTGTGTGTGTGTGTGTGTGTGTGTGTGGGTGGGTGT